AAAAAACCTACATATATACACACAAAAAAAAAAGTTTTGGCTTTAGATGTGCTTTAAGTCTGAAGTGCCCAACATGTGGCCAGCCAGTACTCAGCATGCTATGTGTCAGACCTCAGTGCAGGTCTGGAGCACAAGGTTGTTTATACTGGCGCAAAAGCCGCTGTCAGCACTCATAAATGTTAAAAAAAACAAACACCAAATTGTTAGTTCAGGAGCTATCACAGATCACTATCCATTATCCTGGATGGACACAAATCCATTCATAAATGATAAAAAAATTTAATAAAATATATATACTTTTCTTTTTGCACATTGTTGTATTTGCACAATGTTAAAACTGCAAACGTTGCTATTTTCAAACCATTTTTTTATTTTTAACAAACATTTTTAATATATTTTTTTACTTATTAACCCTGTGTAATTGTGCTGAGAGGAAGTCCCCCTAACCCGACCAGCTGAAACAATGTGTGGTTTCATCGTTTTTGATGCATTTGCATGCGCTCCAGCGCGTTCCAGGTAAAATAGGGCCTGCTGCAGTTTTTGTACCTGCTCTGGAACGGAACGCTGCGATGTGAACTGGAGCCAAAAATACCATTGGAATACATTGGACGCAGTTTTGCTCCGGTCTGTAACTGCTCTGCTCCGCGCTTGGTGTGAACAAGGCCTTACCCAGAGCAAGGGGATATAAGTCATGTCCAGAAGAAGTTTCCAAAACACTCTCCTGGAAACACACTCCGTTTAATGTCCTTTCTTGTAAGCAAAACAGTAGAAAGGTATCATGGCACACTCACAAACTAGCATGTAAAACAACTCGTCTCACCACTAAGGTTAATAACAGAGGTTTGGATACACGTCTTCTGCAGAAAATGTGAAAGCCGCACAGCCGCGCCAAGGCACCCCTTATAGTGCGGTCCTAACTCTAAACTATGAGAGTCTCCATCTTGGAGCACATGGGGGCAGAAGATTTCAAATTGGGTGCAGGTTTGTCAGGAGGAAGCCCAGCCTCTTTAAAGGCACAGAAACACACAAGGGATCCCGCACATCCAAATGGCAGCTGAGAACCCCCATGCGTCGCTGCACCAAATCGGTCAAGCAAAACAAATGACAAACGCACTCAACAATTCGTCACCAGTTATACAGCAAGGTGCACACGAAATGGGCTTTGAACAGTAAAACAGTAGAAAGGTATCATGGTACACTCACAAACCAGCATGTAAGCAGACCTCCACCTTTTCAGAAAGGAATGTCTCCTCTCCCTTCTCTCTCCAATCTTTTTACTTATTTATAAAATACCTCTAAAAAAATAAAATTCACCTATTATTATTCAAAAACAACAACCACAAGCGACATAATGCTGGGGCAGCTGAAGTGATTGTTGTTGTTTAAAAAGAAAAATATATGCAGCCTTACGGCCCCATTCACACATATGCGTATTGTAATATGCGCGTCTGTCGCGCGACCGTCACGCGTTTTTTTTACCGCGATTCGCGGTAAAAAGGCCGCGCGACCGTCGCGCGATTCCAAAGGCTACTTGGCAGTATACTAATGGAAAACGCCCTACAAAACGGACCAATACGCAGCAAAAAACGCTCCGGGACCTTTTCATGCGTGAGCCGTTTTGTAGTGCGTTCGGGACGGGCGGAAATACGGACAGATGGGAACGAGGCCATTGACTACAGTGTTATTTATTTTTTTGACCGTTTTGTAGAGCGTTCATCGAGCGTAGGACGCGCTACAAAACGGTCAGGTGTGAATGGGGCCTACATCTTTGAAAGTAAATAAAAGTCAGCTTTTGCTGCAATAGTCATCTTAATCCTATTTCTGTGCAGATGTTTTATTTGGTTGTGTTGTATTTTTATGGCTTATGGTGTGTGTTTTATTTGTGTATGTGTGTTTTTATGTGTAGCACGGGGGGGGGGCTACAACTTTTAATTGTATTAAAATTTAATTTAGTTTTATGATTTTTATTGTTTACAGTTATTATTTAAAGGATTAGAAGAGCTAACCGTTGTCCCTTTAATGAACTTTCATCTTTGTCGCCGATGCTCTTTGCCTTCTCTCTATCTTTATGTTGGTGATATCTTTTTGCAGAGTGTTTATATTGATTTACAGTTGTGATATGTTTTCATGTTTTGGTTTTGACTTTATTACCCGTCTTTATGGCCCGCCGCAACTAACTGATTTCACCAGCTAACCAAACTGGCGTTCTTGGGTAAAATGATAACAGGCAATGAAGCCTCTTAAGTACTTTATTTCCTAATCACGGCCAGCTTCCAACGTGGCATTCTTTTCAAAGTACATTATTTTTTGGCTGACATTCCTTGTCCCTCTTTCACCTTTCACATATTACATATTTATTGTTTTTGACAGTTTGGGGGAAAACCACAGTGGTGGTAAAGTGATAAAGTGAAGGTAAAGGAATTTTTTTTTAAAAACTGCAGATTGGTGGGCTTTTTAGGGCTTGTTCACACCATGTCCGGACCATGTCCAGACCAGAACAGTTTGTTCACAGATCAAAAAAGCATCCCAATGTATCCCTATGGTATTTCTGGGCTCCGTTCACACCAGCGCAGTCCGTTTTGGTAAAGACAAAAGAAAATACTGCTTGTCTCATTTTCTCTGGTCTGGAATGCACTGGAATGCATGTAAATCAAAAACACATACACACGCATGCACACGCACTGGACTGCACCTGAGCCCATTAAAATCTAAAAATAATTAGGGTAAAAATGCGGCGAAAATGCACTGCGTTTGCAGATCTGTTCCAGATCTGGTCCGGACATGGTGTGAACAAGCCCTTATGGCAGCAGTGACTGTGTCTTCTGCCATCAAAGCTTCTCTCTACCATTCTGTATATTTTTTTATTTCTGTACACTGAGCTCAGTGCACAGGCCCAGCATGCCAAGATGAAGTAACTCCTGTGCGCATGGAAGTACTTCATGCCTGCCAGCCAATCAAGAGGCCGAAGTAGCCAATCCCTGGAAGAGAGCCAAGTCGAAGATGTAGAAGACGCTAGAGAGGGAGGATCGCAGCTCTAGAGGGGAGTTTGGCATGATGTGCTAATATGCTGTGCATACAAGAACATTAAGGCTTAAAGCTCCTGGGTTCTTTGGGTTTTTGAATGCTTGCTTGTTACTATTGCTTTAGGATTTTTGTGCTCATTGGGAAGATTTGTAAGTCAGTATTAATAACACCGCATTCTCCAGTTCTCCTCGCCCGGCCAGTAGTGTCCCCAGCCTTTTGCCGCCTACCACCCTCTGCAGGCTCTGCATCACCAGGCCCAGTTCTTAGCAACCTGGGACGCCTTGGCCAGTGTCCCACCCAGCTCCTGTGAGGGGAGATGTGTATGGCCCTTACACATCTCTCTGCCCGGCTCTTAGGAACCTGAGACACTTTGGCCGGGGGGCAGCAAACGGCGGTTCAACAAAATACTAACATAAGAGGGGTGATCCTTTTTCCAACTCAGTGATTCTGTTTTTGAATTTTTTTCTGACATGTCGGTGTTATATCTTACAGTTGAATGTTATAAGTTGCACTGAGTAAATACAGCTGGATAAAACAAAAACTGTGTCCATCTTCCATTCAGGCTGCAAAGCAACAAAATGTGGGTGATTCTTTTCTATACCTACTGTACTAGATTTCCATTAGAAGAAAATTACATTCTTCAGTGTGAGCAATTTTTTTTAAAGTAGCACAGGTCTAAGTATTGGGACTACCTAGATGGAGACAAGGCCAGGAGGGGAGGGGACCCTATGATTTTATTAAAATTATATTAAAGTCAAATGGTTTTTTAGTTTTTTTCAAATGCTGTTTAAATCACTTACAATGGGTGCTGCTTCTTGATGTTCAATAGTTTTAGTTTTCTGCAGAATCAGTTGGTCCCCGGAGCCCTGGTCCTAATATCCTCTTTTAGGACGGCTCCTTTCCTTAGAGGATCCTATAGAGCCACCCTTGTGTGTCCTAGTAAGCTCCACAAACACACAGATACAACAAGACAAGCCAATTTCTGCTCCCCGCTCCTTCAGTCTCTCTCCTCCATCCTCCAAGCTAGTAGATGGACAGCTGCTGGAGACTGGGCTGTCCCTAATGAGCTTGTGCTTGACAAAAAGTTCAGGGAAGTGGAATTGAGAGAGTTGGAGCCATGTTTGGAAACATGATGACTGTGTTTGTTAAAAAATGTAAAGAGATACTTTGCTGGACAATGTATATTTGTTTGATGTGGATTCATTTTTGAAAAAAAGTATTTTTTTTTTAATTTAAAGCAAAGTGCCAGGCATAAAATGTTCTTAACCCTTGCAGTGGGGCCACCCCTGCACTGCAAGGATTAAGTGCTCAGTTTTGTCTAGGTGCTAAACAAAAGTTATAATCCCCTGAACCGCAGACCCAGCTGGCTGCTACCCTGAAGCCTGTCCCTTCCTCTGCTACAGCTTTGGTATGTCCCTCAGCGTCCCCGCGTCCTGTACACTGTATATAGAATTTGATGACTCAAGGATCCTTAGACCGCTGCAGCGGAGGGGAGAAAGAGGCTCCGAGGATCAGGTGAGTATAACTTTTTTTTTTAGGGTTCTGTCATGTATCCCATGTATAAATCATTCAAGATGAACTCAATAGACTGTATACAATAAGAGACAACAGATCTCCCCCACAGGATATATATATTAGTATACAGTTGGCAGATAACTGATTGTTTTACAAACTGGGAAAACATCTCTGGACCGCAATCATCTCTTGCACATGTCCTCATGTAAAATAACTGTTTACTATAAAAGTTCAAGGTTACATTGTTGTGTTCCATGACATGGACATGCACATGACTAGCAGAGCCATGCTGTAAGTCGGAGAGCTAAAACAAACAGTCCGGGGAACCTCTGCACTGGGTAAGAGTGACGACTGAGATAACTTCATAAATATCAGTGCACAATGAAATCTGTTCCAATAATTAGGTCCAGAAAGCATTACAGCAGCTGCTTGTTGCATTTGTTTGTTTACTTCAATGGCAACCACAAGACTAACTAGAACCTTGTGTGTATGAGCTGTGCTGAGATTGGAGGGCACAGACTGATCCCCTCTGTTTGCCAATGGATCACCTATGGAGCGGCATCCTGAAACAGGAAAAACCTTAGAATACAGAACTGCTACTTGTACAAAAGTTGTATGTACACAATGCATATACTGTATATATATAGTATTTCCACTTTCTTTATTTTAGAGCAGTGTGCAAGTGCGGGACCCACGCGAATGTGCAGGTTCAGGTCTGCGTGTAACCGTGTGCAGCCACATCCTTCTATAGGGAGGTACAGGCTTCTTCACACAAAACACGCAGCACCTGTGCACCCCAGGGATCGGGTCTTTGCATGGGCATGCACACTGTACAGCTCGACACACCCGTGTAAATGAGCCCCAAGGGTTCCATACATGTTACAATCTGCCATACAATCTCTGTACAATTAGCTTTAAGACTAACAATAATGTGTAATATGAGGACCTACAATCAAATTGTAACATGTTGGGGGATTTAAGTATCAGTATTTTGAGAGCCAGCGGGGCCGGTTAGCAGGATAGTGAAGCTTGGCCCAGTGGGAGATTCCTCCTTCCACACAGTTTAGCGTAGATGGAGGAATCTGTTGCACTTTTTCCATCTGACCATAGAAAATCTGCAGATAATCTATAGGTATATGGCCAACTTTAGACTGCATTTAGGGTTGTTCAGTTTGGCTCTGTTTAGAATAGAATGCTGTGCGTCCAGAATCTGATTAGAAACTCCAACATGGCTAAACGTGACTGTAAAAAAAGAGATCTGGCAGGTATAAAGTTTGTTTATACTTCCCAGATTAGGCCTCATTCACACAGATGTGTACAGCTGTCCAGAACCCACGTCCATGCAGAAACCTGCATTTGGAAGGGACAGCTGCTGCATGCAGCCGCCTGTACATTTCAATGACAGGACACAGCTACACAACGACCCCAACTTGCCCATCTGTACAGGTACAGATGCACGCCCTTGGATGCAGACCACAGAGGTGCATTCGTACTTTTACAGATGTGCAAGTTGGGGTCGGCGTGTAGCTGTGTCCTGTCATTGAGATGTACAGACTACACACCCACCCCAACTTGCACATCTGTAAAAATATGAATGCACCTCTGTGGTCTGCATCCAGGGACGTCCATCCTTACCTGTACAGATGTGCAAGTTGGGGTCGACGTGTAGCTGTGTCCTGTCATTGAGATGTACAGACTACACACCCACCCCAACTTGCACATCTGTACAGGTAAGGATGGACGTCCCCGGATGCAGACCACAGAGCTGCATTCGTATTTGTACAGATGTGCAAGCTGGGGTGGGTGTGTAGTCTGTACATCTCAATGACAGGACACAGCTACACGCCGACCCCAACTTGCACATCTGTACAAGTACGAATGCACCTCTGCGGTCTGCATCCAGGGGCGTGCATTCGTACCTGTATGGATGTGTAAGTTAAAGTTGTGTGTTGCCGAGTCCTGTCATTGAGATGTACAGGCTATGTGCAGCAGCTGTCCTTCCAGGTTTCTGCACGGACATGCACGCCTAATTGTTGATCATGCTGGCCTAATTGCTCCTGGGTGTAGATAAAATAAACGCAGGAGTAAAAGTGAAGTCTTAGATCAGGGGTAGGCAATCTCAGCACTCCAGCTGTTGTTGAACAAGTCCCGAGAGGCATTGCAAGACTCTGGCAGCCACAGGATCACTCCCAGAGGCAGAAGCATGATGGCATTTGTCAGCTGGAGTTCTGAGGTTTTTGTACCCCTGTTATACATGTACAAAATGTTTACATGTACAAAAGTCTATGAGAGCTGTTCAGTGCTGTGACATACAGCGACGCTGAGAACAGAAACAACATTTATGATATATACAATGTTTAGGAATAGAGTACCTCCTCCATTAGGCTTCAGCAGCAGGGCGTTCCCCACCAGGGGCCAATTGGTGCCCACGCCGGGTATATGCCTCATTATTTTCCGTTTGCGAATGTAGTCAGCCAGGAGGGGGGCAGTGGAGAAGACTAGAAATGTCAGCAGGACCACGGCTGTAGTCACCCAGATCAGCAGATGTAGCTCTCCCCTCAGCAGCTCCATGTCCAGCTATGTCCTAGGCTGGGATGGAGGAAACGTGTGTATATAACAGCCCGGTGTTCCTCCTGCTTGTCACACACAGCCCAGCTTCCTCCTTGTTGTCATATAATAGAGATGGGCGTGACGGAGTGTGCAGGCCTGTGCAATGATTGTACACTGTGCAAACACGCCGCACATTACTCTGCTGTGTTTACATGCTGTTACCTCATCGTGTCTCTCATGTTACATCCCATACACCCACTACATGTACTGCTCACACTATCCAGATATGTCACTGTACAATTATATAGAGGAAAACAAAACCAGAAGCTAGCCGAGAGAAAGCAACTCCTCTCCACACAGCTGACAAATATGACCCTTTGAGGGAGCAAATCATTTGATGATATGATAATGGTGGGGTTACAGTGACACAAAATTCAGGCGTTAAATCCTAAAGTAGAATTAAAGTCTCAGTTTTTTTACATATATCTACTGCTAGCAAGCATTAGATGGATGCAAAAACATAAACAACATTAAACCCTTCATGACTGCGGCCTTCCCCCCCCCCCTTGTTTGCACCCATGTTATATTCCAAATTTTAGGCCTGAAAATTACTTAAACCCCCAAACATTATATATTTTCTGAAAGCCAAGACCCTAAAAAATAAAATGGTGGCAGTTGCAAATTTTTACGTTGCACAATATTAGCGCAACTCCTTATCAAACCCCAACATTTTGTGAAAAATGCACTTAAATTCCCCAGAACACATTACAATACCCCGTTGTTTATTAAAATATAAAAGATGAGGTTACAACGAGTAAAGAGATACCCAACATGCCCAGGTTACAAATTGTGTGCGTCCTTGAAACGGCGACAAAATTCAGTATCCAAAAAAGTCCATAGACTGACGCTTTAAAAGCCCCCACAGGTCATCAGTTTAGAGATACGCGTAAATATTGGCCCTAGAATTATTGCTCTCACTCCAGCGTGCGCGGCAAAACCCAACATGTGTAGCGCGTTCGTCGTTTTCATACGTAGGCGCACCCGACGCGTGTTTACATGGAGACGCGTGTGCTCGCGGGGGACTTTATATTTTTTAATTATTTTTACATTTATTTTATTAAATGTTAATTTTAAAAACATGTTTTTTTTTGGTTTTTTTTACTTTACTTTAATTGCTATCACATAGGGGGACTTACAAGCCCACCATGTGATAGCAGATGGTGGTGATAGGTACTCTTTAAGGTGATGCTGAGGGTCCAAAAGCTTATAGCTGGGCTTAAGACGTGCAGCACTGACAGCTATGGGAACAAAAGTGATGTAATCTGCATCGCTCCCGGTCCCATAGAACGGGGAGGGGATTGTCGAATGGAGGTTTGCCAAACTCCTCTCCAGCTTCCCACCAACACCAAATAATCCGGGCCCGTAGGAGGGGCAACGAAGCCCGGGAAACACAGCGGGGGGACGAGTGGTGGGGCCCGTTCAGCATCCTGTAGAAGCGATCTGGCGGCAGCTGAGCCACCAGAATCGCTTCTACTTTAAAGCCGACAGTCGGCTTTACAAGTTTAAACAAAGTCCCGGAGGCAAAAGCTGCCGGGAGTCTGTTTAAACAGCCCCGATGCCAGTGGCCTACACTGTACGTCGCTGGCCATGAAGGGGTTAAAATTGTCAGATAGACAATTACTTACCTCTGCCTGCGCCGCCCTCCCGGCTGCAGAACACATCTTCCAAATGGCTCGTGCAGGGGGCATGCACAGTCCATATCACTAGAGGGGAGAGGAGGAGAGACTTAATGGAAGTGAATGCACGCAGCAGGGAACATGCACACCGGACAGACAGAGAGCCGCGGCGAGTCAGCGCTGGTCCGGTGGGCCAGCTGAATATGCACTATGGACCATGATTTAACCTATTCATGTTAGCAGGGGAGAATTGTGAGCGCCTCCCACAAGCTGAGCACCAAGACGCGATGCATCGATCCTGCCCAGCGCCGACTACAAGAGGCACCGCGTGAGGCAACAGGATCGCAGTGAAACTGTAAGTGAGGGAAGCTGGGATGGGGCTGGCTGTAAATCTATTGCTATAGTGTACTGGACGTGTGTAATGTATATGTAGTACATATATACAGCACACACCTCCACCACACTCCAACAATAGATTTACAATTCTCCGCTGCTAACATGCATAGGTTAAATCATGATCCATAGTACATAACATGTAGTTGTACTATGGATCATTTAAAGTCACCTGTCCCTTTAAAAAAAAAAAGTATCGGTAATTGGTATCGGCAAGTACATGAGGGGAAGTACTTGTACTTGGTCCTGAAAAAGTGGTATCGGGACATCCCTAAAGGTAAGTATTAAAAGCAGAATTAGAATGGGGAAAACACGACGTGACTCTAATGTCACTTTAAAAATGCATTCAAGTACCTTAACCCCTTGCCGTCCACCGATTGTAAAATTACGTGCGGACAGTGGATCCTTCCCGGCGGGCGGACTTACATTTACGATATCTTTTTTCTGCTCGCGCGCTCCCCCTAGCCAGGAATGTGTACAGCCGTTACATCAGCTCGTTTGGGGGTCCCTAGGTGACATTAGGGGTCTTGGGGACCCCTGATGTCTCTATAAAGAGGCAGGGCTCAAAATGTCAAGTCCTGAGCTTCTAGCCAGGCCTTAAAAGTTACTCGCCACCAGTTTCCCCACCTAACCCCTACCCTGACCCGGCCTTAAACCCGCCAGGTCAGCGGTGTGACGCAGAGTACAGAGATCAGTAACAACGCACAGTACAGAAGTCAGTGGTGCAATGCCAAATACAGAGGCCAGCGATGTGACACCATCGCCCGGTCTGTGAATCTCCCTCTCGATGTCTCTCCTGTTCGGCTTCTCCTCGTCGACGTTCCCCTCTCCCTGTCACCAGTCGTTGTCCTCCCCGGTCAGTGTTTCCCTCCCCCCTCTCTGGGCCTCAGAAGACAGCCGCAGGAAAGAGCGGAACTGAATGTCATCGAGGTGCGCTGCCGGCGTGGACAATGGTTGGGACACTGCCGCCGCGGCGATCGCTCGCTTCTATTCTCTCTTCTCCTTCTCGGCTGCTCTGAAGCTGCAGCTATAGAGGAGGAGAAGAGGGATCAGAAGCGAGCGATCGCCGCGGCGCACCCCCCTCGATGACATTCCACTACTCGCCCCCACGCAATTTTCACTCGCCAATTGCGAGGGGGCGAGTAGAAATTTTGAGGCCTGTAAAGAGGAACTGTCATTTTTATCTAGCTATCACATTGGGGGGGTTTTAGCCCCCTATGTGACAGCAATCAAGTTAAGTGTAAAAAAAAGTAAAACAAAAACATATTGAAAAAATTAAAAAACACCAAAAAAAGTTTTAAGTCCCCTGCCCCAGCGCGCACGCACTTATACACGTAAATACGCGTCAATACCTACGTGCAAAAACAATGATTACGTGTTGCATATCGCCGCGAACGTCGCAGTAAGCGCAATAATTCTAGGACCATCAATCACTGATAGCACTAAAATGATGAGCGGTAAAAGCTTTTAAATCGTCTCCTATGGCCCATTTTAGGCATGGTCGTTTTTGGGCGCTTTTTGTGGGCGCACGCAATTTTAAAGCTTGACATGTTTGGTGTCTATTTACCAGATGTGACCCCCTCTTTTATATTTTACCAAAAAATTGGGTGCTGATCAATGTTTTATAACATAAAATAGGGAAAACAGGTATACTGAGCTTTGGGTCACGGGAGGACGCTTGTATATGTCCTTCCGTGACCCTTAAGAGAACTATGGGGAAAAACACTTACCCCATACTTCTCTTTGAAGTCTCTGTGACTGAATAACAATGAAAAAACCTTTTTTCCCCCATAACAGGAAGTGCTTGAACAAGGACCTTCAGGGCAGGTTCACCACATATTATTTAATTAAAGCTGCAGATTTAGAAAGAAAAATGACTTTTGAAATGACTTTAACATGTTAAAGATCATATGGGATTTTAGTCATCGGGTTAACATACCCTTTTAATGCCAGATCAGTTTTTGTGTTTTTTGTATGCATGTTAGAATTAAAATTTTAGGCCTAAAGATTACTATTTTGCCCAGTATTGCTTTAGATATCTCGTATCATAGTTTTCATAGTTTGGATGGAGTAGGGAGGGTTTGCATCCTCTGCAGGGTTTCAGTTCCTCTGTTCATGACTACTGCTTTTATGCTATGAGGAAATAAAGGACTTTTTATGATGGATCTCAATCCTGTATGCCAATTTTCTAACAAAATAGAAAACACAAGCCTCTACTGACCACCAGTGGTCCGTTTTACCGTAATTGGATGGATTTCCATTGTGTTTTTTGTTACTTCAATTCCTTTTGCCTTATCTAGGTGACAATGTTGTCCATGGTTCAGGAAATAAGGGGCAGTCTCTAGCCTCACCCCACTCTACCAAAGTACATTAGACTAATTTAGGGGGTGAGCAGAATTTCTAAAGCTAATACATAATCAATAGGCACATACTCACTCCTTTCAATAAGCATCTGGCTATTAGCAGCCATACGAATATGTGTTACTAATCTTTTGGTGTCTGTGGTGACAATATGAAATGGGAGACCCAAGAGGTAGTTTAGAGAACTGAGGAGGAATTCTTGGCCTGTGACTTGGTGGAGTAAAGTTTCATGGAGCAGTAAACTCTGATTTTCTACATCTCCAACACTCCTTTAAAATCTGAGGGTTACATGAATGTAGAAGCTCTGGGGTTTGAAACCAGCACATCAACATTTTGTAGATTGTTTCTCTTTAGGTTATGCAAATGGAGGATTTGGTGGGACTAGTACATTTTTCCCACAGGGCTGGGCTCCCACTTCCTCAAATATTTTGGTTTACTTTCTATGTCCCAACAGGTAGATTTGAGTTGTCTTTAGACATTTATGATCCTATGCGGTTGTATGGGCCCATGTGGGCACAAGATCTCAAAGGTAGCAGGTCATTCTAGCTAAAGTTGTGGAGTCCCAGATGATGTATAGTGTTTGAGTTGCAAGTAGAAATAAAGGCTGAAGGCAGGTCTGGTGCAAAGTCGGTATGTTACCATATGTACGATATGTTTAGGTTGAA